AGGAGTGAGTCTAGGAATCTCATTTCACCAATGATTGATGCATTACGATGTGGTGGTTTGTCAGCAGCCTAGGATTTGTTGATTCTGCTAGGTTCCCCTGCAAAACTGCGAACAAAGGTAGCTACAAATTTATGTGGAAAAGTCTCGTTTTCCGGATGTGCAACGACACACTGATGCCCTTACTATATCTAGCAGTCACTGCCTTGAATTTCCTTTCATTAAGATGATTCGAAGTAGCAACTGTCGCCATCCGGGTGAATTTGAAGATGAAAATACAACTCTAATCTCATTTCACCTTACTAACTACGTAATGCTACACCACCAAACAGTCGTCGGATCCTAAACAACTAAGACGATCCAAGGGGACGTTTTGACGCTTGTTTCCATCGATGTTTAAATACACCTTTTCAGAGCAAAAGGCCTACACGTTGCTGTGTGACTACGGGAATGATATAGATCGTCAGTAACGCTTGAATTTCCTTTCATTAAGATGATTCGAAGTAGCAACTGTCGCCATCCGGGTGAATTTGAAGATGAAAATACAACTCTAAAGAAAACAGGGCCCCTTCCACTACTGCTGAACTGTGGCATGCATCATATATGAGAACTTTCCAACGGCACAGTCACGCTTCTTCAAGTGCTGCTGAAAAACCCAGTCGCTTTCTCTCTTTCGTATACGGAAGATTGGTCAAAATATGCCGTACTGTGGAGAGTTGACAGATTTCTGCACGTATCCTCGCAGTAAAACGATCGCAATACCTGCATCACATCCACCAGTGTGTTGCTATAATGAGAAGTGAAAGGACAACAATCCCTAAAACAGTTCTACTGTTTTGTCCAGTCTTCAGGTATATCAACACACTAGCACAGGTGCCTGGGGCTGTTATGAAGGGGAAGCGGTATGCCGAGAGTTGCAGCATACCTTGCTGCAACCCCTTCTGTAAGGAGATTCCTCAATCTTATCGATATGCTCTGGGAAGCTGCAATGGAGTCACAATCCTTAAGATTACTGCAAAAGCACCTGACCTCTATACCATGTTTCAGGGGGTCTTGGATAAAGTGGCCCATGCGCTTGGAGCTGCGGAAGAGGAGCTGGTTTGACTGAGTTGCAAAGTGCCTTGCTGCAACTCAGGGTCACGCTTCTTCAAGTGCCGCTGAAAAACCCAGTCGCTTTCTCTCTTCCGTATACTGAAGATTGGTCAAAATATGCCGTACTGTGGAGAGTTGACAGATTTCTGCACGTATCCTCGCAGTGAAACGATCGCAATACTTGCATCACATCCACCAGTGTGTTGCTATAATGAGAAGTGAAAGGACAACAATCCCTAAAACAGTTCTACTGTTTTGTCCAGTCTTCAGGTATATCAACACACTAGCACAGGTGCCTGGGGCTGTTATGAAGGGGAAGCGGTATGCCGAGAGTTGCAGCATACCTTGCTGCAACCCCTTCTGTAAGGAGATTCCTCAATCTTATCGATATGCTCTGGGAAGCTGCAATGGAGTCACAATCCTTAAGATTACTGCAAAAGCACCTGACCTCTATACCATGTTTCAGGGGGTCTTGGATAAAGTGGCCCATGCGCTTGGAGCTGCGGAAGAGGAGCTGGTTTGACTGAGTTGCAAAGTGCCTTGCTGCAACTCAGGGTGCCAGACAACCCCACATACAGTATCAACCAAGCCTTGTCTGCTGCATGTACTAAAAGTGTAAACAATTGTTGAATAATGCAGCTTGCATGCCGGCAGAGTAGTACTGCAAAAGCACCTGACCTCTATACCATGTTTCAGGGGGTCTTGGATAAAGTGGCCCATGCGCTTGGAGCTGCGGAAGAGGAGCTGGTTTGACTGAGTTGCAAAGTGCCTTGCTGCAACTCAGGGTGCCAGACAACCCCACATACAGTATCAACCAAGCCTTGTCTGCTGCATGTACTAAAAGTGTAAACAATTGTTGAATAATGCAGCTTGCATGCCGGCAGAGTAGTAGGGCCGAATAAGGGTTCATGTGCCAACTTCAGACAGGCAAGCCAACGTCGGATAGGCTGTGCAACACGTGTACTCACGGCAACCCCACAAGCAAGCACAACCGAGCCCCCATATAGTACGCGCACTGACGTCTTTGACAGTTGTACAACACTTAATGGCTCCTCAATAGCCACACTGCACAGAGGTAAACACATAGGTACCACGCGTTTAGCAGAACACGCAAGGCCACTACAGCAAATGAATATTCTGGGGTCTGCAGTTCGTTCCCAACGGGCATTTTTGTCTATTTTATTCCTTGTAAGTTATTACTAGTTCGATAGTATGAGGCGTCTATGCAGATGATGCTGCTGTCTTAATAATAAGACCCTCTCGCTGCCCCCGCTAGCCCGTGTGTGACTCTGGAGGAGATGGCGGGTGGGCGGCATTGGGCGAAAAGCGTTGAAGAGGAGGAGGAAGTTCGTGAATGCGTCTAAGCATTGTTCATGTAAGACTTTGACAATTATAAAGAAACTAAAGAGGAGATGCCGCACCTGCTGGGTGTATCTAGAAGGAGAAACACCCACTCTCGCCCCCACTGCGGTGGCGTTTCGCGTCGTCGGGGCGGGCGGCGGCCTGTGTCTTGCCTCTAATTTTTGTTTTCCCGTTTGTGTATAATTTGCATGCCGTTTCGTGACTTTTAGCGGCTCAATGCCGTGAATTTGTACGCTCCCTCTTGCCGCAATTGCTTGTTTTCTTTGCTGTTCTCTGCCACGGCGGTGTAGTAAGTAGTAGATATACACACCCCAGCGGCGTCGTGAGTTGCAAGTTGGATGCGCACACACATACACACACCCAACAGCAACATAGGAGAGGCCTCTCCCCCAACTATTACTCGCCGTTTTTGTGCAGATTAAGTGATTACTTTTTCTCTATTTCGTCATTTACCTTGCATTGTAGTGACTACTACTATTGTGCGGCGGCAGGCGCTCTGTGGTCGGCTGGCGCAGGCCGCCACACAATAAACCTACCGCCTTGAATTCTTCCTCTGTCCGTTTCGATGTTGAATTATTGCCATTTGTCACGTTTTCTTCTCCTTTTCTTTATGCAACTTTGTTTATTCGGCCAGTAGAGCCGCGGTGTCACTCTAACTCATACCTTCTTAGGGGGGCCGCCGCCTGTTGCCTTTCTTTGCAACAAGTTCCTTTATCACCGTTATTTATTCCCCTCTTTCCGTCCTTTTCTCTTGCTTTTTTGCTAACAAGTACAACTATTATTCCGCTGTAGATATGCTCTCCTTGTAGCCATCGCTGCGCCTCCTCCCTGGGCGTCCGTCCTTTTTTTTTTTTCTATTATATCTCGGCAGCAGCAGCAGCCATCAACAGCTGCAGCAGCAGCAGCAGCAGCACCTTCCTCCCTTTTGCCTTATACGGCCTCCCGTTCCTTCCTATTTACCCCTCCCCTGCATGCAAGTGCAACTTTTCTTTCTGCCTTAGTACAGAGGCAGATAAATAGGGGAGGTGTTAGGTGGTGGTGGCGGAGAGAGGAAGAGGCAGACATATAATACTCCCCTTCTTCTTATTATATAGAAGTAAATTGGGGTGTATACACAGCTTCTGCTGCTGCTGCTATTACCTGTATCTGTATAATATATATACAGTATACAGGTCTTGGCTATATATATATTTTTTTTTGCCCCTTTTCTTCTTTTCTTCTCCCCCCTCCCCTCCTCCTCCTCCTTATAAGGATGTCCTCTACTAATAGTATATCTGCGCAGCAGCAGAAACAATGTCGTGCAGCAGCATGCTGCGCCCCTGCTTCTTCTGCAGCTCCTGCTGCATCTGCTGCATCTGCTGCATCTGCTGCTGCTGCTGCTGCATGCAAGCGATCTCGTGAGACAGCAGAGCTTCCTGCCTTAGGCAATGAGCAAACAATAGGGGGATTTGTTCGTCCCTCTAAGCATTCGCGTCCTCAAGGAATTATTTCTTCCTCTTCTTCTTTTCCTCCTCCTTCTTCTTCCTCTTCTTCTTCCTTATCATGTGCTGCTGCTGGTGATGCTGTATCACGTGCTGCTGCTGCAGTTGCAGCAGCAGCAACAGCAGCACCATTTTCAGGTCTTTCTGCTGCTGCAAATCGATTGCAGCATTCCAAGTCAAAAACAGCAGCAGCAGCAGCAGCAACAGCAGCAACAGCAGCAGCAACAACAGAGGGAGGGAGAGGCCGTGCTGTTCTTGCATTAAAGTCAAGCAGCAACGAAGGACAACAGCAGCAGCAGCAGCAGCAGCAATCATCTTCTGCAACAGATTCTGCTGCTGCTGCTGCTGCTGCTGCTGCTTCTAATGTTGGCAAACGTGTAGTATTACCTCAATCAAAGTCATCATCATGTATAATGGGGGGCCCCCTTGGGGCCCCTCATGGGGCCCCCCATGGGGCCCCCCTAACGTCGCCATTATCATGTACAGGAACAGACGACCCAAAAACACACAAAGAAAGAAAGGTGACCTCCCCCTCTCCCGCACCCCCACCAACAGCAGCAGCAGCAGCAGCAGCAACAGCAGCAGCAGCAGCAGGAGGAGGAGGAGGAGGAATAGGGGAACCATGGCGAGTTAGCCAACGTTGCCGCTTATTTATATGTGATGTTAGTAATGCATATAGTATAGATAATGGACAAGATAATCATCATAATACAAGAACAGCACAAAGTAATTATTGCCAAGAATCTTATCATGCAGATAAAACATTTACAGGTAATTATTTAATTAATAATAAAAGATTAACTCCTCAATTAAGGGATCTTATTCTTTGTATTATTAATAAAGTTTGTGTACAACTTGCTGAACAGCAAGCTGCTTCCTCCCATACCAGCAGCAGCAGCAGCAGCAGCAGCAGCAGCAGCAGCAATAATAATAATAATAATAATAATGGTGGTGGATGTCGAAACAATCATAATCATAATAATTGCAGCAATAACTACAGCAGCAGCAGCAACTGCAGCAGCAGCAGCAGCAACAGCAGCAGCAGCAATCGTATAGTATATCATGATTCATTGGATCCTCGTGCTGCAGCAGTAGTTGGTGTTGCTGCTCAATTATTTGATAGAATAATGGCTGTAATAAACAAAGCAGATATAATATATAATATAAATAGTACAGAAAGAAAGCATAATCAGCAGCAGCAGCAGCAACAACAACAACAACAACAGCAACAGCAACAACAACAGCAACAACAACAACAACAACAGGCATACTATAACCATCCATTACGTAGCTTATTTACTAGAGGATATAATATAAATCCTTTATTAATTAATCAATTAATAGCAATAACATGTATAGGTTTTGCGGATAGACTAGAGGCAATTACATCTATAGATTATAATATTATTATTAATATATGGAGAAATAATACTGTAGGTATGTTACGTAGTGTATGGCCTCCTCTTCCTCCTCCTCCTTCTTCCTCCTCTTATAATAATAATAATAATAATAATAATAATAATAATAATAATTATTCTTCTTTTTATGAATCTTTATTGAATAAAATACTTCTTATAGAAAGAATAATTATTGCATATATTTCTCCATCAGGTAATATTGCTGTTGCCCCTACATCTGAATTAACAGAAAGTTTATTAAATGTTTCTTATTTATTTGCTACTGCTACTTATAGATCTGCATTAAGAAGAAAGGCATTAGCTGCACAAGCAGCAGCAGCAGCAGCAGCAGCAGCAACAGCAACACCAGCAACAGCAGCAACAGATGGGTGTTGTGCAACAGAAGCAGAAGGCAAAACAGCAGCAGGAGGAGGAGGAAGAGGAGCAACAACAGGAACAACAGCAGCAACAGATGGGGATAATAAGGAGACAAAGGGAGCAGCAGCAACAACAGCAGCAGCAACAGCAGCAGGAGGAGGAGGAGGAGGAGGACGTAACAATCCATCAAAGAAGACAGATTCTCAACCAACAGCAGCAACAGCAGCAGCAGCAGCAGCAACAACAACAACAGCAGCAGCAGCAGCAACAAGAGGAGGAGGAGGAGGAGTAGCAGCATGTGGTTATAATATGACAGAGATAGCGCATGCAAACCCATTTGCTGCAGCATTAATGTATAGAGGTGGAGGAACAGCAGGAGCAGCAGCAGGAGGAGCAGCAGCAGCAACAGCAGCAGGAGCAGGAGGAGGAGGAGATAAAGGAGCATTATGTATACGTATTAGTGGTAGTAATAAGATAGATATATGCAGACAAGTTGCTCAATTATTTGTACGTATAGCTATATTAGATAAGAATATAAATTTATTATTTAGGCCATCAACAATAGCTGCTGCTGCTGCACAATTAGCAATGTTTTCTCCTTGTCCTCCTTTTTCTTATTCATATTCATCTACATCTTGTTATTATCTACCTATAGAGATACAGGAAGCATTTGCTGCTGCTGCTGCTGCTGTTGTTGCTACAGGGGGCACTGCCTCCTTCCGTCTAATAAGAAAGTGTCAGTATTTAATGTTACAAAAATGGTTAAATATAAAAAAAATATTATTACATAGGAGTGCTGCTGCTGCATCTCCTTCTGCTGCTGCTGCTGCTGCTGCTGCTGCTGCTGCTGCTGCTGCTGCTGGTGGTGTTGGTGGTGGTGGTGGTGGTGGTGGTGGTGGTGGTGGTACTGCTAGTACTACTAGTGCAGCTGATTCATTACCTGATAGACTTATTGCTGATTGGGTACAACATAGTCTTGTACAGCCCCATCATAGACAAGTACTTCTTGTTGTACAACAGCATGCAAATTATCTAGTTAGATGTCAGGCATTAGCTAGACAACAGCAGCAGCAGCAGCAGCAGCAGCAGCAACAGCAGCAGCAGCAACAATTATCTATTGATGATTCAGCAAAAGCAAAAAAAATCATTCATCAACATCATCATAAATATACTCATCCAGCAGCAGCAGCAGCAGCAGCAGCAGCAGCAGCAGCAGCAGATGCAGCGCATGCAAATCATTGGCCACATACACTTAAACATAAACAACAAACTACCGCCAGATAATCATCAACAGCAGCAACAGCAGCAGCAACAGCAGCAGCAGCAAAGGGAGCAGCAGCAAAGGGAGCAGCAGCAAAGGGAGCAGCAGCAAAGGGAGCGGCAGTGGGAGAGGCAGCGGTTGTGGGAAAAACAACAGCAGCAGCAGCAGCAGCAGCGGCAAAATCAGCAGCAGCTGCAGCAGCAGCAGCAGAAGAAGAAGCAGCAGCAGCAGCACAGTGTGCATGCGCAGTAAATAAATACAAAGGGGGGAAGAAGAGACAAAGAAAGAAGAAGAGAGGCAACAGCGGATAAGCAAGGAAGGAAGGAGACACTAATAAATAACGGATATATGCATGCATGCATACATGCATGCATAAATAGATAAATAAATCAATATATGCATGCATGCATGCATGCAAGATATGGCGTGTCTTTAGTGGCTTTTTCTCCTTTGTCTTGTCTTGTATATATTATTTATTTGTTTATATATATATATATATA